CGGCACCGCACGCCCTACAAAGCCTGTGCACATAAGAAAGCGCAGCGGCCTGAGCTTTGTTTGGCCGGTGGCTCAGCAAACCCAATGGCACGAAGGAGGCCCCGGAAAAGAGGAAGTTGCAGGCCATCACGGCCACGTGGGCAACTCTCCTAGAGGCAACGCGGGACCTGACACGAGCGGCCTTTGCTGAGGGGATGTGCTGGAAACATCCAGGAAAAGGCACCGGCAGGGGAAAGAGGGCATGTGCAGGACGAGGTGGTCGATCCTGAGGGAGGTGCAAAGTTGACAAAAGAAAAGCTCCAAAAGACCCCCTAGACCTAACGACCCGGGCCGCAAGGCTAAGACCGTAGGCCCTAAAACCAAGCTCACGAGGCCGATGGCAGTGGTGACGGGAGCGGGGCTCAGCCGCAACATCGGCAGGCCGAGCGGCATGCACTGTAACGCCGGGCCCTGGCGAGCACGAGGCCGAAGAAGGCCCACCAGGGTGACCAGACCACAAATTCGAAGACAAGTGTACACGGGAAACGGCGGCATTCAAAGGGTGCGCCTCGTCCGGCCTATCATAAAAGATGCCTGAGCCTCCTTCAAACGGGCTTGCCTCAAAAGGCTCTGTCGCATACCTGCTGCCGGGGCCTAGGAGCCCGCCTCCTTGGGTTTCTTGGGAAAACGGGGGCGACGAGGCTTTGGCAAGGCCTGGTCTGGGTCGCTCGGCTGCGCCTTCGCCTTCGCAGCCGCGGTGGCTTCCGATCTGCGGCTTTGAATGGCATCTATCTCCTTTATATATGCCAGCGTAGTCGTTGCCCAGCTTTGGGGGGTCAGGCCCCCAAAAGCCCGAAGGCGAGGGTTCTGAGAGGCAGGCCGGTGGGCAAACAACTGGTGAGGCGGATCCTCCAACAGTGTCAAAAGGTAGGCTATATCCCAAGACCCTGAATCTTGGGAGGCTTGCTCGGTGGCAATCAGAGCCAGGGAAGCCATCTCCTCTGCCCCTACCGTGTCCCCGGCCACCAGTGCATCCAGGATGTTGGCGAGCAACCAGAACATGATGCCTAGCCCCCGCTGAGACCCAAACCCTCCGAAGCGCTCGGCATACAAAGTAAAGACGGGCTTGCGGGCGAGGAGCTCGGCACGAGTCGAGGGCACGGGCTCCGAAGGACTGAGCCTCCTCAAGGCTTGCTGGCTGACCTGCAAAAGGAAGCTCCCCGAGCGGGTGGCCAGCTGTTCTTGGAGACGTTCTCTCTTCGAGGCACCTCTGGACCCTAAGGCAGCGACCCCTAGCGAGGACAGGGAAGGGTCCGAAGCATCGGCTTGCGTCACCAGGTGGGTGACCAAAGTCCCTAAGGCACGGCTCTGTTGGAGCATTGCTTTGGCAAGTGCCCCCTGGCTCTCCGGAGGTAGGGGCTCCCCGGTCTCCTCGTCGACCATTAGCTCGTCGGCCTGTGGCTCCTCCTGAAGCAAAGGGGGAGGGCCCCGCAAAGGATGACGCATCTTGGGAGGCGCACCTATCAACCCGCTTAGGGTGCCTAAGGGGTTGGGCGGAGGAACTAGGGAACCCGAAAGGGGAAAGGCCAGGCGGTGGGGAGGAACAGGGCTCGGCTGAGGCATGGCAGGCACGGCGGCCTTCTTCTCGAGAGCGGATTGGCGCAACGAAAGGTCCTGCACTTGCTGGGTGAGGGCCGGGATCAGATCCACAAGGTTCCCGATCTGCTCGGCCAGCTGAGCATTGGTGTGCCTCTTTGCCTTCGGTGCCGCCTTTCTCCGTACTTCCCCTTGGCCCGTTTGCCCCTGAGGAAGGGCATCGCCTCCTTCTGCCGCAGAGTAAAAGGCCAGCCTCTCTCCCTCCTCTGCTGCCAGCCAAGCCCTGGCCGTGGCCAAAGCCTCTGGGAAAGACACCTGCTGGTCGGGCCGTTCTGGCACAAAAGACACGGCTTCCACGGGAGAGGTGACTGGGTCGTATCGGCTCACATAGGCGGCCACCTCCAGGCTGAAATCCACGAGGAGGGCGTTGCAAGACTCCTCGACGGGGCGCAGCGAACCATCCTCCTCCTCTTCTGCCAAAGTCAAGGCCACCTCCACCGAAGGGCCAACAACCGCCTCCAGAGCCCCTGTCTGCCCGGCTGACACAAGGCTCGCGTCCAAGAACCCTGAAGGAACAGCTCCCAGCACGCCTCCGTCTCGGAGCAGCAGGGGCACGAAGACACAAGTGCGAGGGGGGACCGAAGGCCAATCGAGAAGGAGGCCTCCCGACTCGGAAGGTGAAGAGAGGAAGTCCTTGATCAGTTCCATTGGTCGCGCTCTGGAAAGAGCTGCCCAGCAGCCCGAACGAAGACCCTACACTCGCCTTCCGTCGGGAAGCCGTGACAGACCGTCCGGCTCTGCTCCAAAGGCCCGGTGTGCAGCTTAAACCGGCCAAAGGTGGTGAAGACCCGCACCTCGGAAACCCCACGGCACCAAAGGACAACGTAAAAGCGGCTGCGAGCAGAGAGCACCGGGGTAGGAGAAGGCACCTCCTGCTCCTGGCGTAAGACCGCCCCTGCCTGGAGGCCGGCCTCCCAAGCACGAACAGCCCGAGGGCGACGATCAATAATGTGCAGGGAAGATACAAGGAAAAGGGCGTCCCCCGGAAGAGGATCTCCGATGCGAGGGGCCTGCGACCCAGTGAGCACACAAGAAGGGGAAAGACCACCAGCAGGAGGGCTCGAGCGCGCGGCAGGAGCTCCGGAAGATGAGGCCCTAGGGCCGGCAAGGGGTCCCCTCGAGGGCTGGGGGGCAGCGTGGTCGTCAAGCTCAACAATCTCCCAAGGATTTTGAGCTTCCTCAAGCTCTTGCAAAGCAGTCCGAAGACTATCCACAGCCGACCGGATAGTGTGCAAAAGACTATCCCTGCTCATGCACGTACCCTCTAAGCCTCAGAGAGCGGGGCCGCGACGGACCTGACACGTTGGGTTCGGAGGGAGGAGAGGCAAGGCGAGCAGCCGGGAGGAACAATGACGCTTGGAAAATCCACAAAGCGAGGATAATGCCAAGGCAGACTCCAGCAACCAGGGCCAAGAGCAGAATGGAAAGGGACCCACCGCAGTGGGCTGGACACCCTAAGCCCCACCAATTCGAAGCGGAGCCCTGAACCAAAAGCCCCAAAACCTGGGCTACACTCATCTTTGAGCCCCAGCAGTATACTACATGCTTCAGCCTTATCACTCAGGGTTTAGGGTTTAGGGTTTAGGGTTTAGGGTTTAGGGTTTAGGGTTTAGGGTTTAGGGTCTAATAATGCAATGCGGATGATTCACGCCAGAAAGCATTATGTAGACTCGCTCTAGGGCACCAGGAG